TAATGGAAGGTTAATAGTTTTAGATGCCTGGCATGGCCTGGTAGTTAGGGCGATCTGTACCTTGACCATTCCTGACATGGCCTGGTGGTTAGAGCGATCTGTACCTTGACCATTCCTGACATGGCCTGGTTGTTAGGGCGCTCAATCTGCGAGTCCCGGAGTCACATCCTCGTAACCGCACATGCTCGACCTGCCAGCCGTGAGGGCGTTATAATATGATGGTCCATCCCACTATTCGTTGGTAAAATAGTAGCCTAAGAATTGGCGGAGGATGGTGTTGACTAGCTGTCTTCCCTCTAGTCTTACACTGCTAAATTAGGGACGGCTAGCGCAGATAGCCCTCGTGTAGCTTTGCGCGAAATTCAAAAACAAACAAACAATCGTTTTGTTGATGAGGGTTAACACTGTTCATTCGAACAAAAATTAGCAGAAGGCATTTAAAACCCAGAGAAAACAAAGTTCGTCCTGAAAAAAGTCTGTTAGTTTTTTTTATTCGTTTACATCTAATTAAACAAATATACATGAAGAAATTTCAGCAAAACTTGACGAAAAGAAGAGTCTGAAAACACATGACCTGCACCTCTACACGTTTTATTTTCTTAATGATAATAATTACAAGTTAATGTGAAAAACTCTCATTAAAATTAGATTAAGCAAAAATTTAAGTTTAATATTAAAGATTAAGCAGTAAAATATCTATGATAAAGAAAACTGTGAAAATGTGTTAATCACAACTGCGATGAATATTGTTATTAGGGTTAATTTTTTTTTTCGGCAGCAGAAACTACTAAAAGGCTAATCTGTAATCTTTTTAAATAAACAGAGCCTAATTTTATATTAATATTGTCATGAAACTTCTTAACAACACTGCTAAATTTATATACTGCATATCGTTTATGGCCAACGCTATATTTAACACTATTTCTACAGGCTTTGATGACGTTGTTTGATAATTATACAGCTTTAGTAGCCTTGCTTTGCATGGATGTAAATATTAATATGTAAAATTAACTTTCACTATAGCCATATTATTACGTCAGAGCTACGTACTTGCTAATGGAATTGACATATTATTACGTC